TGAAATTAAAATGACAGACACATCTATCACTGTCAAGGATTTTCTCGTTGGACAGACTATACTTGCTCGAAGTCGCGGACGCTCCGCTCCATCTGAAAACGCTGTAAGGTTTAACGTGGTCTCTATACAGGGGTCCCAGAAATAAGTGCAAGTATTTTAACTGGTAATATAGTATAGTTCGACCCTAGAAACACGCCTATGAAGCTTTTTTCGCAAAAAAAATTGAAAAATTCGAAATTTTTTGAATATTTTTTTGGAATTTTTTTTAGTTTTTAGTTAAAAAACATAATTTCTTGATAATATGGCAATTTAGGTATTAGATTAAATTTACAAGAAAGAAAATCCAGAAAAGATCCAGTGGTTCTCAAAATTTTAACAAAAATCATTTTTATTGGAAATTTTCAAAGTAAAATAACTCCAGTTATTTTCGACTTATTTGAAAAACGATAAAGAGAAAATGTGTTTCTTTTATCGAGATCTACCACCCCTTAAAATACTTGCAATTATTTCTGGGACACCCTGTATGTATATCTAACAACCACTTGTTAAGAACTTCAGAGACTTTTTTATATTCCTGTAAAACATCAAAAGAACAAAATTACAGACAATTATTTTTGGCATTACTGCGATGACAATACTCAGGTAGTGAGTTTTCCTGTTTTATTTTGTCCTTTACTATATTTGGCGAATTATACAGATCCAGTCATAAACGTGTACTATTCCATATACGGTAATAACAATAATAATCAGAACAGGACGAATTCACGGCCATTATAATTCTCATACCGATACGAACAATGTTTTGTCTCTTTTGTACGAATTCCTGCTAATTGAATTCATAAGCGGGAAGCCTTGGAAATCCACTCCGGGAAAAAAATGCGAAAAATCGAGGCCTACGCTGCGTAACGCCCGACCGGAATCTTTGAAGTTTTTTAAAAATATATTATTGTCGTGCATAGGAATACAGTATTTTTTTTATTCTTGTTTTTTACTTACGGTTGGCTGTTGTCAACAAGGACCAACAAGTAAACAACGATACCTACATACCTACACAGTGGAATGCGGTATGAATAAAACATAAAGACTGGCAATTATGGTAATTGTGTTTTAAATTAGTTTCAGGAGTCCCAGAGGCGGCAGATCAAAATTATTGTTCTTTTATTGTTGTCGCGCGGTTATATCGATGACTTTTGCGGTCGAATTCTAATTTGGTCCGTCAATAAATAAAAATGAATAATTAGCTTTCTTAATGCACGCAGTGTGTAAAAATAATTGCATGATTCATAATTTTATTTATTCACTTTAGTTTGTGTTCAAAAACATTAGTTGAAGATTTCAATAATTACAAATAATATACCGGGTGCGTTTCAAAAGTGCCTCGCCCCTATAACTTTTTTTCAAATGAAAAACGAGATTTAGTATGTTGGTCTATGACATAAGATTGATTGACGAATTCAATTGTTTTTAGTCACTTCCTGTTTCACCGGAAATGACTGCAACGATTGATTTTTAAATGGCATCGTCGGTATATTTATACTTCATTCGATAGAAAATGACACTCTGAATAGAATCGCATATCATATATTAACATTTGACATTTTAGCTTAAAAAATCGTATTTTAAATTTTAATATGGAGTGAAAAAAAATATTAATTTTTAATCAAGGAGCCTTGGAAAAATAGATATGGTCGTCTAAAGTTTTTCGTGTCTTGTCCTAGCCGATTAAAATATGACCAAATCGTATTTTTAATCATATATCTTAATTCTTGCTAATGGAACAAGAGTGGCTCATTAGCATATTTGGAAAAATCACTTTTTTTTAAGAATGACTTGATACTTCATACTCGGTATTTCAAGTCAAATTTTGCTTATGAACCGTATATTACAATTTCAAATAAACCCATCGCCTGGAAACTTATATGGTAAAATTTTGATAAAATAATTTAGTACTCACTAAAAACACGGTATGTCGCTAGTGGTAGGAAAAATAATTTTTAGAGGTTACTAGTTTATTTGGTTGCCTGTGATATGCATATACAGGGAGTTTCCTAATTAATCTAAAAAATAAAAAGTCGTTAGAAAACGGCTTAAGGCGGGCGCTTAATAAGTATATTTATTTTTTTCTCGGCAACCGTTTGATGAACAAGAAAAACTCAAAAGATCAATTTTGTTGAAAAAGGATGGCCAGTCAAGAAAAAAATATATTTTCTTTAAAAAAGCAGTAGTGTACCATTTATGTTAAGCAAACTATCGATTTTTTTTTAATTTTTAACACCCTGTAGATCCAAAAGGAAGTACTTTAGACCCAATGGTTATATCAAAATTGTTTTAAGAACACATGAGGAATCACACCACAATTTTTTAGACTAATTAGAAAACACCCTGTATATTGTCAACTTGACAATGATTGTTGATAAATCAAAAAATACCTTTTCTGTGAAAAAAGCCCGATTTTCGCAGGAAAAATTTTGGTTTTTATTGAATTTGGGCCTGCGTTTGCAAATACCGGTATGTTTTTTAATATTCTATCTATCTAAATTTTAAATATCATAGTCAGAAATAGTTTTATTATTTATTAACTGTAAAAATGGTATATTTATAAGTTTTATCAAATATTGTGGTTTACTTTCTACCTTGTAGTCAAAATTTATATTTAATAAACTGTAAAATATATATATTCTTATGTTTTATTAAAGTTACTCTGATATACTAATATATCAGTGTAACTTTAAAACTAAATCCTTTGAAATGAAATATAAACATAAAAAATATTTACAGCAGAAAAGGCGAAGGAGCTGGGTTAAAGGTAGTCTCTACTAAGAACACGGAGGGGCGCTTTGACCCAAAATTTTACTATTAAGTTTCATATCTATCTTAATAGAAGATTATTTTCTTTTATCTATGAATAAACCATATGCGAATCTGTCAAAAGTTGACATACGATAATATGTCATTCTATTCAGAGTATCATTTTCTATCAAATAAAGTAAAAAATAACGAGGAGATCATTTAAAAATCAAAAGTTGTAGTCATTTCCGGTGAAACAGAAAATTACCAAAAAAATTGAATAAGTCAATCAATCCTAATTTATGTCATATATTAACATACCAAATCTCGTTTTTTATCTGAAAAAATAAATAGTATAAATTTATAGGGGTGAGCCACTTTTGAGACACCCCCGGTATTACGATTTTTTTAGTATTTGTTATCTAACTACCTATTTAAATACTGTATATTGGAAAAATTTTAATTATTGACAGTGAAAGTGACACCTCTTCGTGATTTATTTGCAGTGCTTATTAAACACTAATACTCCACTGTAAAAAAAGCATCACTGTGCTGGTACATAGTAAAGCTTCAACCGAAATATTATTTCTACGTTAACTGTGACGTCATTTTTTATCAATTACAGGGTATTTTAAATACTAGGTACTATTTATGTACGTAGTTATTGACTTTCTTAAATATTCAAATGAAAATACTACAAATGTAAATATTACTAGTATACTATGTGCTGTTAGAAAAAATGTTAAAAATTTTCGTGTCATTTTTTTAAAATAAACAGATATTATTCAATTTCAAATACTGTTGTTTTGTTCAGCTATTAAAAATATATTGTAACAAATTATAATAGGTGTCTGTTTTTGAATAGAAGAAAAATAATTTCTTCAACTTCTGTTTCGAAGAGAAGTTTTTCTTTTCAAAATAATTCTCTCAATTTACTTACAATGTTTTTGAAAGTAAATGAATTTTTAAAATAGTATATGGTTTTTTTATTTTTATTAGGAGTAAAAATTACAATTGTCGTGGCGAGGCTGTACGTTAAAAGTCACACCTTGTATGTAATTATACAGGGTGAGTCTTAAATAAGTGCAAATATTTTCAGGGGTGGTATATTTGGACCCCAGGAACACGTCTATGAGTTTTTTTGCAAAAAAGGTGTTGAAACTCGTGCATTTTCTTTTAAATTTCCCTGTATATTTTTCGAAAACTGTTTAGAACTGCCTGTTCACCGCAAATTTTTCCACGGTATAATTTTTTAATTTCTGATATTACCATAGTTACAGCTTTTCTGCATGCAAATACAGAAAAAATCCGGTAGCTCCCAAAATTTTTCCAAAAAAAAATCAATTTTTTTTTAAATTTTCGAACTTAAATAACTCGGTTATTTTGGACTTGAAAAATGGTAAAGAAAAAATATGTTTCTTTTATCGAGATCTACCAGCCCTGAAAATATATGCACTTATTTAAGACTCACCCTGTATATCGAGAAACTATTGTTACGCTCGTTGAATTTCACACTTCACACATATTTTCGTACTTTTATGCGTAAAAGGGGTAAAAGTGTTTTACTTTTATGCCTAGGCGTTAAAATGACTTTTTTATATTGTCAATCACGTCGCAAAAATTAATCATTTTGTGACGTTTGAGAAAAATAAATTATCTATCAGAGTTTAAGATATTCTTAAAACATTTATGACCGTTTTTGGTTTCGATTTTTGTAAATCCCAACTGTCTAATTAGTACCAAATTAATGGTACTCAATTCTTTAGACAAACTTTTGTTATGAAAAGGAAATACTTCTGAAGATTCCCCTTTTCAACCAGAAAAAACTCATGCTATCGATGGTTATGCCTCTGGATTAGATATGAATGTAACCGTTGAGTATTGAACATAAACAATACAATATTAATCGTATACTATTACATCATAATTTTGATGTCATACAATTAAAAATTAAAGAATTGACTTGCTTTTTTATTTACGTTACATTTTTGACTCTTTTTTTTTAATTTATTATTATTAAGTGTTAATTATTCTATTTCGTATTTAAACCTATTAAAATATATAAATTAATTAAAGCATTTTAAACACTGGTAATCGATTTTTGTTGTTAGTTTCACATTACGTCAACAAATTAATAACAATTTTTATAACCAAACTAATTAACAAACTATAACAGAAAATCAAAACTACAATAGTATGAAAGGAGGTCCTACCTTCCGTCCCTTTCATCTTCTCTGGATCTCCTGGAAGTCCTTGCTGGCTTAACTCCATCGTATTTGTTTTCCCTGCCGTATATGCTGCCACCGAATGGATCTTCACCAAGATAATATCTAAAACAAAAAAAAAAGAGTTTTATTATCAAATTTCAGCGCTTGAAATAACTAACTTGTGGAGCCTAAAAAGTAATTTGTATTGTCCTATCTTTTTAAATAGAATCATGAGAAAATTAAAACAAAATCGGAAAAAAAATGTTTTATTGGAATATTTTCGGAATTAATCAATTTTTTAGGCATCGAAACATAACAATTGTAGGGTTTAGCAAGGCGTAACTTTTCTCTAGTTTAACAATCTTTTTATCAGGTTAACGAGATTCCTGTGTGCATTTTTATGGGACACCGTGTATATTTAAGAGGAAGCCAGAAGTTTGGTTGTTCAAATCCATTAGGCAGCAAATTATCACTTATAATATCACAAGAGCTTAAATTATTTTCGGAAATTTTTTTGAGGGCAAGAATATTTTGAAAATTATCCCGAGTCGAAGACGAGGGATAATTTTCCTAAAATATTCGTGCCCGAAAGAAAATTTCCAGGAATAATTTAAGCTTGCGTGGTATTCGGTAAGAAAATTTCACACCTAAATTTGGAAAAAAAAAATATTAATCCAACATGACATTTTAAAATAATTTCAATTTGTTAAGTTGGCCAAGGTATTGATGTTTTTGACATATTATGTGTTTTGTCATTTTTGTTTGCGATTCTGTCATTAAGCTATTACTAGTTTTAAAACGTCTGTACGTAGAGTAAGAAGTGTATAGCGAAATGTCGCGATTTGGAAAAGTAAACCAACAAGTCATTAAAGAAGAAATTGAAAATATAAAACCAGATAACACCCGAAAATCAAAATCAAGTGTATATCCATCATATTTCGTTAAATAGAAAAATACCAGCTTTAGTTAAATAAAGGCGGCAGAACTATATTTTTTTAGAACATGGCAATTTCGAAGAAATTCATATGTAGGTATATCTAACTTATTTCCTTAAATAAAAATATTACCAACCTTAGTTACATCAAATGCTAAAACTCAAATGGGTAATATTTCAATATATAGACATTGTAGTTCATTCACATTATGATTGTAGATCTTATGTTTACCTTTTCAACTGTCAAAAAATTTCCACTAAAGTTTCGTGGCGCCTCGAAAAAATTTCCGGAAATTTTTTCAGTTGCCATGGTAACTAGTCAACATTAAAGCATGTTATTGGTTGAAAAGTAGAGGTGTGAAATTTTCAGCCATATTTTTTAATAAAAATAAAAAAAAAATCTTGGCTATCGAAGCACTATATTGAAAAGAAATAGTTATACTCAAAATATTTGAAAAAATAGATGTGAATACTAGGGATGGGGCATTTCCTATATATCGATAACTATCGATAGTTATCGATAGTTATCGATATTTACTCAAATTATCGATACATCGATTTATTGATAACTATAGATATCTCGATAGTTATCAATGAACCAATAATTTTATATCGATATATTTTATCGATTACTATCGATAATTCAATATATCGATAACTATCGAATTATCTAATAATATTAATAACTAATTAATAATCTATATTGATAAAATATGATAACTAAATGTCTCGACAGAAATTGTGATAATTATCGATAGGTAAAATCTATTATCGCCCATTCCTAGTTAATATATCATTGCATAAAAATATATCTTCAAGTTGGCTTGGAAACGACGATCGATGATATTTTCCACATAAAATTACACCGATCTTCATTTCCATATACACTCTGACGCCGTTTTTATAACCAGTTTCAATAACATTTTTCAAAATTTTAATAAATAAGACGTTTTAACTAATTTCTCAATAAAAATTTCAGATTATTATTTTGAGGTCTTTCAGTAGGAAATATTCATTATAAAATGGAAAATTAGTGTTTCTTTAGGTTAGGTTTGGATATCGATTTTTATATAAGAATATACATATATACAGGATGGTATATTTCAATCCCAGAAATATATGCCTATGAGGATTTTTTAAACTCGGCTATATTTAGTATTTATTTGAAAAACAGCAAAGAAAAAAAAGACATTTCTTTTATGGAGATCCACCAATCCTAAAAATATCTGCACTTATTATATTCTCTCTGTATAACATCGGTTTTTAATTAACTTATCCAAACACTAAGTTGGATAAAACTATGATATTTTATGTCATAAAATACAGGGTGTTAAATTTAATTTTAAAATGGTGTATTTTCTGTGGTATTTTAGTAGGTACACCGAGTTTTAAAAAAGACATTATTATAAAATATTTCTTATCACCCTGTAAATTGACACAAATGTTTTTAAAATGTACATAAAATGCATACATAAATGTATAATTGCCCATGCATGTTTTATAAAAAAAATAGACTGGAAATCTCAAACTATAAAATTGACATAAAGCTCTTTCAGAATATTGATTCACCCTGTATATTCTAGATTACAATCATCATAAAATAAATTTGTCAAGTGGACCTGAGTACCTCTGCAAATTGATTAGCTCACCTTTGCACTGGTTGTCGGTCCATCGAGTGGCTGATATTGTTGTCGATCACGTGACCAGCCTGGTACGAAGGGCTGGGCGATCTCTTGGCCCTTTGGCTCTTGGCTTTGCGTTCGCTGCTTGCGGATCGGATCTTGTTCACGAGCTTGCGAATGGACTGGCCTGCAAAAAACGGTACGGAGACGATTGAGAGAGGCATGTAATTGCTAGCGTCGTTACCTGTTTCGGGTAGAGTCTATTCCTTAAGATGTGTCGTTTAGGTTTTCTCTTTGTAATGGTGAATCGTAGGCTTTCATTTTTTATGTCTATTTTGACATATTAATTAATTAAGGGTTTTCTCAAAAAGTATATTTTTTTAAAAGGAAATAATATGGGAATTTAAACTATATTCGATATTAATCAAACTTTTAGTTACGCAATCGAGGGCGCGATTTTTAAATTCATTGTTGCCAACCATGGACATATTCGGCGCCGGTCTGACTAACTAGAATTTAAATTTCGCGCTGGGGATTAAGATGGTAGCTCTGCTGTTAAAAATGTCAAGTTGACGTATTTATTTATTTCCAGACATTGTCATTCGTTTTGACACTTTAGTATTACGAGTTTTTGATTTAAATAAATGTGTTGTGATACGTTAAGCTTAAAAAATGTTTACTAGCAGACCTTGCAGTCGAACATTGTTCTTTTTAGAACCTCTTTTAGTGCGAAATGGTACAAGATAGCTTAATAGCCGTAGAAAACTCATCGCAACTTTATTAAAATATTTTGAACGGGAAATGGGTAGTAATGGTCCTTTATGTCCCTTAAGTGCTGTTAAGAAGGTGAGTTTTGTTGATGTAAATAATAACTGTTTATATATTTATAACTAATTTATTTTTGTATCCTAAAATATTTTGATTAAAAGAAAATATGTAAAAGTGGGCAACGCTGTGCCGGTCAAGCTTAATCACGTGACTAAAAGTTTATTTGATATGAACTATAGATTAAAATTTGACTTTGACGATAATTTTTCTTTAAATTGGATTAAAATTGACCACCACTTCACTTTAGCATAGATATAGAGCAAACTTGGCCAAACAAAAAAAATTTGCTTAAGATTTTGATGCTATTATTTATAGTACCCTTTATCTAGGCAGGATTTTGTAGACATTCTATTGTTTTATTCCCCATAGTAGTGGCGCCCTCTAGCGGCTATTCTACAAACCTGAGCATAATTTCCGACAATTTCTCATCACTTTTTCATTTATAAATATTTTTTCGTAGGTTGTAGATACTCTTAGTAATCTAGAACAACCTTTTACAAATTAAAATAGAAATTTTCAAAATTGGGCTCAGTAATAAACTCATTTTTTATTTCTTTTTTCCATAGCAACTGTGCAAAATTGCCTTATACCTATCAAAAATAGTAGATAAAATAGTACTTTAACCGCCAGGGTAGATTAAATGATACTTTAACAGCGAGGATCGCCGATCGGTTAAAAACTTTCTTCCTTCTCGCACGTTTTTTAATTGCTTCCATTTTTGAAAATTTCTGTATTCCTTTTCATAAGTTATTCGGGATTTAAATGGAAGTAGTTTGTATATGGCGTTTGTCGCCTCAGCCTGAATATCTGTTGGTAATATACTTATTTCGTTTTGAGCCATTTATGGCTCCAATTCAATCAGCAATCGACACGAAAGCGAATTAAAAAATATTGACTCAAAACTGACAACTAAAGAGACAACTTTATTTATTTGTCAAATTACATAGAAATCAACGCCAACCCAGCACAATATTTTTTCTACTCGTAATAAATCCCTTGAAATAATAATTTCTGAATATTCTTTTAAAACGTAACTCGCTATGGAAAAAATTATTGTTTTATACACGACTACAAAATTGCATTATCGATAAAATACCATTTTATCGTCTTGTATAAAAAATAACTATTAAATATCAAATTAAGAAAGTTTAAATTTCATTATGTCATTTTTGATCTATTTTAAAGCAAAAAAACACTAAACTAAAATTAATAAAATATCCTATATGATGCCTATTTTATTTGTGATACTATATTAATTTATTTTTCTTAGTAAACCTTACGAGTCATAGAGTCTACCTTATCCAAGTATATACGCAGATAGAATTCAAATATGAACATGGCTAAATAATAAATTTCAGTATGTAAATATCTTCTTGGTCTATGACAAAGTCGTTCTTTTCTCAATTCGTCGAAAGTCAGATATCAGGTGTATTAAAGAAACTCGTTCCTTTCATGAATAAATTGGTAATTATGTAAAATAATAATAGAATAGGAATGAGTACATGTTTCTCTAATGTTATTAGTCAATTTTTCGCACGACGAGAAATTATTAATCATTTTATAGTACTATGCCGAATGTGTGTCACTTTCTTTCTTTTGAGGTATTTAGTCCTAGGGCTATGTTTTTCTTTTTTATGTTAGGTTTTTGTCTATTTCTTTTTCTATTGGTCATTTCTTTATTTACTATAATGAACGTTTCGAACTGCGTGAAAACACATTTTATGAGTAGAAAATAAAAACAATATTTTTTACGAACTTTGTCAATAAGAAAGCATTGAAACAATGTGCGACAAAGATGCAATTCGTAGAAATTAGTAATTACAGTACTATAAATAGTTATGAAGTAATAGTAATTGCAAGTTACTATCTATAATCTATAGTATGTTCAACGAGAAAAGGCACGATTTTGATAAACAACATCAAAATATTCAACTGTCACTTGAATTTTATTATGGAATAGGTTTTATAAATACCGGATGCTTCTCAAAAGTGGCTCACCTCTATAACTTTTTTATTTTTTCAGTTAAGAAAACGATATTTGGCATGTTAGCATATGACATAAATTGGGATTGATTGACGTATTCAATTGTTTTCGTTCATTTCCTGTTTCACCGGAAATGACGACAACTTTTGATTTTTAAATGGCACCCTCGGTATTTTTTTACTTTATTCGATAGAAAATAAAACTCTGAATTGAATGACATATCATATGTCAACTTTTGACATTTTCGCATATGATTTATTTGAAATTATAACTTACGTTTTGTAACGAAAATTTGATTCGAAATACCAAGTGTGTGATATCAAATTATTCGTAAAAGAATGCTTTTTCGAAATATGCTAATGAGCCACCCTCGTTCCCTTTGAAAAAATCGAGATATGATTAAAAACACGATTTAAGTATTTCCTAACTGGCCAGGACAAGACACTAAAAACGTTAGACGATCAAATCTATTTTTCCAGGGCTCCTTGATTAAGAATTAGTGTTTTTAACATAGTCACGGCACTCTAGAGTGAATTTTAAAATATATTTTTTATTAAGCGCGAATGTCAAAAGTTGACATATGATATGTCATTCTATTCAGAATTTCATTTTCTATCGAATAAAGTAAAAAAATACCGAGGGTGCCATTTAAAAATCAAAAGTTGTAGTAATTTCCGGTGAAACAGGAAGTGACCAAAAACAATTGAATACGTCAATCAATCCTAATTTATGTCATATACTAACATATCAAATCTCGTTTTTTTATCTGAAAAAATAAAAAAGTTATAGGGGGTGAGCCACTTTTGAGACGCACCCGGTATATGTAGATGTCATGTTGTTTCTAAAATTGCAATATCTAACTTAAACATTCATAAAATTAATTTATTTTATTTAAATTGGATTTAGAAAGAGCAAAAATCAAAGATAAATATACAGAGGGTTGTGTTTTTTACTACATGTTAAACCACGAGTTAAACAATTTTATCTGTGTTTTACGTAAAAAATGTCGCAAATGAATATTTTTTTACTCAGTAGTTTTATACAGGTACGGTCAAAAAGTTATTACTCTTCAAACCAGTTAAAAATATATACGGGGCGCCCTCTACCAGTAGGAGTCATATTGATATCAAAATCAAACTTCTCATGTCAATAACCTCCCATACACCAATTTTCATCCAAATATTGACGTTACTACATAAATTATTTGGAAAAAATCGAAATAAGAATGAAACTACTACAGCCTGTATCTCCGCATTTTAGGACATACATTTATACAAACTTTTTTACTTATTTTTATCTGCAGAATATGCTACTGAAGTTTCCGGAATACAGTTCGGACCACCCTGTATACAGATATTACTTAAGGTGCTTATTAGCTTTTCTTACAGGGCACTATATCCCTTTATATTATGTGCGAAGATGAGATTTAGTGGGGATAGCGGAAATAAAAGAGTACGTAGGTTAAAAACACAATTCTGCAAAGTTATTGTCTATTTTATTTATATTAGCAAAAGTCTATTTTTGTAATTGCCTCACTATGTTCAATAAATGTCTTTATAATTTTGAAATAAAATCTGTGGTAAAAAATCTTTTACTCACCAATAATATTTCCGCTTTTCGTCTTCTGCTGAGGAGTATCAGATGCAAACCTAGTTTTCTGATAATGCTTTTTATCTTCTTTTGGAGCCGGAATTGGACTTGGAGGCGAATAATCAGGTGGAGGTTCCTCCACTCTATCTAATCGATCGTCTCTGTTGCAAGAAAAATTAAAATTCATTAAATTCATCAAAGAAAAACGTTTATTCAAAATTATTGATATACCTTAAATCATCCATACGTCCGGATGATCTGTAACCACTATCATATCTCGACCTTTCGTCTCTTTCTATGTATTTACTTCTTTTTTCTGATGCCCTTTTTCGCTGGGGTGGTGTTGGAGAGTCATCCAGATCCCTGCAGAAAAAAGACATGTAAAATGATGAAACTTAAATATGTAAACAAAGTAAAAATACTATAATTATTGTAATAATTATCAAATATGATCTTCGTTAATAGATAGTTTTTTTTTAATAAATAATTAACAACATAGCATTTTTTTGTTTACTTTTGATTTGTATAATATCTTGGATGCCTTCCTTTTTTACATTAAGGTACCGTATGATGGAAAAAAAATGGTGTCCAGTTGGCTTGGAAATGACGATCGATGACGTTTCCAATATAATTTTACATATAAAACGACAGCGATCTTCGATTTTCATTCGCTGACGCCGTTTTTATTTGATCATACGGTATATTGGCTACTGAGATTATTTGTATAAAAGCTAGCCTACAGTCTGACAAACGGATCTGAAACAACGGGGCAACGGTGAGGGGATCGCAATTTTGTGAAATCATGACCGATTTCATTCATAAAATATCCAGGAGCGTACGGTGTTTCATAAAAATATATCAGGAATTTTTATAATATTTTCCAGTAAAGTTTATAATATTATTTTACTTTAAACGTACCTACATTTTGTTTAGTCATTTGCCAAATATAGTAATATTTGTTAAAACGCGTGTACTAATTAAAATAAGCAGAAATCAAGTTAAAGGCATAAAACACAATACAATACACCACCACTGGATTTTTCAGTAGTAGTGGCTGTTTCTACTATTCCTAGAAAGGGGCATAAACATAGACTTAAAATAAAATATAGATTACACTATTTACATCTCAACGCGGTCAAACAATCTTTTTTGTACACATGTTTACTTCTGGGTACAGTCGACCGAGCCTTCCTCATCCAGCCTATGTTGTCACGTCTTTTATATTATCAATATTTTTTTTCTTGTTATACACATATATTGAGATATTAATACTACAGTTTAATAAGGTAGGTTTTAATATTCCATAGATGTATTAAATAGTCCTTATACTACTAAATTATATGTCGGATACTGTTTAAAAAGGATAAGTTCTTTACAATATGACAACACCGATTAGAGGCGAGAGAGGCTATTCATTCATTTATTACCTTGTAGTACGCGTCGCACGTGTGCGGTAAAGCTTTGTTGCCGCTATGTCCCCGGCTGTATTAACGCATTTTCTTAGCTTGTAGTCCTTAAGTGTTTATTTTATCGACTTTTTCTGTTCAAGAACTATAAAATATGGTTCGCCAGTGCCAAATTTGCAAGAAATTTGACTTTAATAATCCATTTAAGTCTTGAAACGACTTTCGACCTGTAGGCAACTCTCAATTTACCCATTAGGAGTCAGTGGCGTTGTTGTAGAAAGGCGCTTATTTAGATAATATTTTAGTAAAATGTAAAATCTGAACTTTTTCTCTTACATTACATTATTTACTACTGTTATAATTAATAATGTTTTTTCAGAATCTAAAATAACATACAAGAATTTTAAAATGATAGTACATTATGAAACAATATTTTTTAATATACCGGGTCGTCTCAAAAGTGGCTCACCCCTATAACTTTTTTATTTTTTCAGATAAAAAAAACAGATTTGTATGTTAGTAGGTATATGACAAAAATTAGGATTTATTGACGTATTCAATTGTTTTTGATCTCTTCCTGTTTCACCGAAATGATTACATCTTTTGATTTTTAAAGACACCCTCGGTATATTGCTACTTTATTCGATAAAAAATGACACTCTGAATAGAATGACATATCATATGTCAACTTTTGACATTGTCGCTTAAAAACAAATCGTATTTTAAATTTCAATCCAGGGTGCCATGGTGTTGTTAAAAACACTAAGTTTTAATCAAGGAGCCTTGGAAAAATAGTTTTGATCGTCTAATGGGTTTCGTGTCTTGTCTAGGCCGGTTAAAAGATGTACAAATCGTATTTTTAATCATACATGTAACAATTTTTTCAAATGGAACAAGGGTGACTCATTAGCATATTTGGAAAAGGCATTTTTTTACGAATAATTTGGTACCACACACTTGGTATTTCGAGTCAAATTGTCGTTATGAATCGCATGTTACAATTACAATTAAACCATTTGCATTTTCTGTTGAATAAAGTAGAAATATATCGACGGTGCCGTTTAAAAATTAAAAGTAATAGTCATTTCCGGTGAAACAGGAAGTGACCAAAAACAATTGAATGCGTCAATCAATCCTGATTTATGTCATATACTAACATACTAAATCTTGTTATTACAACAATCATATTTTTTTTTCTCTCCCTGTCGCCGATTCTATTATATCTGTGGAATAGATCCTGTTTTGATTAATATTAGGGGTTGTAAATGTTTGACTAAAATTAATAATTTATTATTAATTTAAATCGAAATTACGTAATTTCGATTATAAAATTTCTTTTATAATGTGTATTTTATTATTTTTATCCATTTTGGACTCTAAGACGTTTTTTCTAAACTTTTATTTAAAAAACCTGTCCTAAATCTTAATAAAATATAAAAAAGTTTAAATACGATATATTTTTAATTTAATTATAGCTTCATTAGAATAAAAAAATTACCCGGCTATGATACGGAGAGTTCAGGTGTACTTGAGAAACGAAAGACAGTGTTGTGTTTCTCGGCAGAGTCGTCAGGGAACGACCGTTACGACAGAGACAACCTATCTATCGCTCCTGTCGCACTCGTTATAACCTAAAACAATAACATAACAATAACAAGACATTGTCTGACCGCACGTTCCAGCTATTTATGAATGAGATGCTCAGTCTATATTTTATTTTAAGTCTATGGGCATAAAGTTCGGGGTAATGGCGGCAAGACGTGCGAGAATCTCGACCAATCAGATTGGTTGAATCCGGGATGCCATGATGAATTTTGTCAGCGTTGCCAGCTTGCCCTAAGCGGACGTTATTTTTAGGAAATACTTTACCTTTTATAATAGGCAGAATGAAAAAAATCAGTTAATTAGATAAATATACATTAATACAATAAGAAAAACGTCAAGATATTAGCATATATATAATTATGTATGCTGAAATGGACTAAAATATATTCAATTTATAGGTAATATTAAGCAACTTTGCTTTTCTATTATTAAACGTGACAACGTCGATTTTTTTTTGCCCGAATTCCTCTTGCTGTTTTAGATCCGTTTGTCAGATAATACAGTAGTGCCCGGCAGTAGTGCGTTGGACATCTGTAGCTCCTAGAATAAAAATAAAATTGGAAATTTTGTTTAAGTTCAAATCTAAACTATGTACGAGGATGTACGAAATATTTTAACTTCTATAGGGTAGCTCAAAAAAGTGTGAGAGGATTGGTATGATTTTTTTAAATGGAACGCCCTGTATATTATTACATTTCTGGCTTCCTTTTAGATCACTTTACATGATCCTAAGATGTGAGTAAATATATTTTTATGGTTTCGGAAATATTAATAAGTAAATAAAATATGAATATTTTTCAACGTTTAAAAAAAAAATTATTACAAATACAAAAAATGTCCTGAAATCAAAACTATATTAGGTATTTACTTTAGATGGTCTATACTTAACTTTGCTGTAAATATCCTAATTTTAAATAATACAGGGTGTTCAAAATACTACGCCAAACATATAATTACTTAAACTTATTAAACAGTAAAATAATTTTTCTTTTTTTTAATGAAACACTGTATATTGTTTTTTTATTAGATGGAGAATTAAAAAATGAACACAACTTTTAATAGTTTCACAGATACACGCAGTGTTAGTTCATATGGCTCTTTCAACGGTAAAATACGAGAGAAAAATCATTGGGTGGCTTTCATAAAAATTTGCTATGGAAAATGCCATAAGTAATATAGAACCGCGAATATCTGCGAAACCGTTAACATTTTAAAGTTCTCTAAATACAAAAAAAATGATTTTTTAATTCTCCATCTATTGAAAAAATAATATACAGGGTCTTTAAAAAAACGAAGAAAAATTTATTATATTTTTTAAGTTTGGCGTAGAATTTTGAATACCCTGTATGATTTAAAATTTTGATATTTACAGCTACTAAGATATATATTTTTTATTTATTTATTTTTATCTCTGAAACTATAGAAATATACACTCACCGGCAAAAAAAACCGGCCACTAAAACCAGTCCCAATTTCAAAGTTGGGTTTCTCGCGAACCACTCATTAGATTTTGATGATTTTTTTTTAAATTGTAAATTAATTCCTTCTTAACGGATGCTACGTCACCAATTTTTATTCCGAATTTATTTTGAGCATATACAAACCACAACAATAAGACGAAGTTTTTTGCCCAAACTTTGTAACATCCTGTAGGGTGCAGCAGCTGTAGTAGCTATTGCTAAAACAAATCACATTGTAGCCTCATCTTTTGTGAGCATTTTGTTATTTTTAATCACGACATTATCTCTTTTTGTATTGGAGATACGCTGCTTTAAAACAAAAATTTTAAATCAAACATCAGAACGTAGACGTAAACTAACTAAAACATGAAAATTAAAAAAAAAGTAAAGAAATTTTAAGGGACTAATATCTAGTGTCCACTCGCCTGGTGAAAGTTACCGTTTCCATATACCGATTCCAGGCATCCTGGACTGTTGTTCGAAATATACACAGGGTATCTTCCCCTAGGAGATGCAACACCTTCTCGTTGGTGGGGAAGCTCCTGGTCAGGTGCTGGGGGGAATCCCCTCTAGCACTTGGCTTGGTCTAAGAAGCATCTCACTCATCGTCTTGTCCCTGACTGTAGTGTCGTGGCCAGAGAATTGCACCAAGACATATAACGACACCGGGCGGGGCTACGGACAGCCTCAACCTTGGGGCACCGGGGGGCGCCCCATTGTATTTTACCCCTTACTTCTACATGCGGGGCTCTGTAGAAGTGGACCGACTATCCCTAGCGACTCATAGGAACACTATGAGATCTGGTAATAATAGTAATAAAAACATCACCGGTGAAGCTGTGGGGAAACCCCCTAGCGACACTGGGAACAGTAACAATGAAAGTTCCAAGGGGCCAAACCCAAAGAGAACTACAGGAGAGATATATAGGATATATCTCTCATATAGAACTATAGGATTATATAAAGTGATCTGAAGGGAAGCCAAAAATGTAAAAATATACAGGGTGTTCAAAAAAAATCATCTTAATCCACTCACTGTTTTTGAGCCACCCTCCACCCTATAAAACTTAAAATATGTTCCTGAAATACAACCTCGTACATACCTACTTTAGGTTTGCATTTAAACAAAATTTCCAAGTTTTTTATTCTAGTATCTACAGATGCCCAACGCACTATTGCCGGACCCTGTTATGTCACCTTTTTCTGAATCTTTAAAATAATGTCTTATATTGACATAATTGGATATTACACTAGCTTTTTTATTAATTGAATCTAATAGGAACTTTGTACCTTATTGGCGACGGTGATACTTTAATGGGCCTTCCATAATCTGGACTGGGTGATCTCTGCCCATTTCTATAATCTGGCACTGGAGAGTGTTGGTGACGATAATCAGGAGTAGGAGATTGGTGTGCACGTACATAATCAGGTATTGGAGATCTATTAGGCCTATCTGGGTGATATGGCGAAGAGGAATGATGCGATGGGGACTGATGATAAAAACTCGGAGACTGCCTCTGGATGTATTGGTGCTCTTGACGTCGTTCTGACCAATCTGAAATACCTGAAACCAAAAATTGTTGAAAATATAATCCATTCTATGAAGCTTCAAAAAATACACAAAAATCTACAAGACTATTAGAATTGTTAGTTAAATAGCAATAATTTTAGCAAGCAATATTCTAGTGCCTATTTGATTTCAACTTTACATAGCAAGCTCTAAACAGAAGAGAAAATGAAGAGCAAGGAACTAATGGCTGAAATACCTTTGTAATATCCAGACTGATGATGGTTTCTTTCCTTTTCCGACGGCACAGGACTATAAACTCTCGGTTGTGGACTGTGCACCGTTGTCACGTAACTCCTTTGCAAATTATCGTTTCTGACTGGCTGACTTTTGATAGTAACGTTAAAAAAACTGGTTTTTGGCGGATGTTCCTCGTCGTCTAGCGTGGAGTTTGATGATCTGGACTCTGACCCGAAGTGATGCTCTAACCATTTTGACGTTTCTACCTTTCTGGTTTCTTCTTCAGCGTCAAAATCAAGTGGGCGTCTGGTCAGTGCGTCCTTTCGATCGAGAGGACTTGGTTGACCGTTTTCTAGACCTAGGAGGAATATTGGATGGGTTTATGTAATGAAGTAATTAGGAATGTTAATGTGTTGCTAACATGTACAAGGTTTAAAACATTTAAATATACTCGTACATTGAGTGGTGCATCGTCGCGCGTCGTTGGAAACATTGGAAATCCCATGCAAATATTCAGTTGTTATCCTATAATTTTGTCAATGTCAAATTGTATTTTATGAAATGTCCTAAATGTTAGGATTTTGACTCATTCGAACCAGTTTTCAAATACAAAAATGCCTTTTAGGTACTTATCAAGGAATATACCAAGAAAAAGAGAGGACGTGCCTTACTAAAAAATGGTTCTATGTTAGTGGCGCCATCTATTGTGAGGGTCTGAATTTAAATACGCTTATTTATATAATTTCACTTGAAACTATCATTTTAAATATGAAAACTATCTTAATAAAATATTAAACAATGAGTTGCGCAAACGACGTTTTGCACACGAGTTCGACAGTTTGTTGGCTCGAGCCGCAGGCAAGAGCCACAAGTCGAACGAGTGTTCAAAGAAGTTTTCGAACGAGTTTTTTACGCTGTTTTTTCTACGACTACAAATTAGCAACAGACTAAAGCTTGATTTTCATGCATCCGTTATCCAACGATACGTTGATACGATATTAATTTTATTGGTAGAATTTAAAGACATTGATTGGTTAGAAAATAACGCAGTTTTTAAATTTATTGCATTTTCATGCCTCCGTTTATCGGGTATACGTTGGTATTATTTTATATTTTCGTTTCCATAACGATATTGTTATTTTACTTATATTTTTATTATTGTTAGATTAAATTTGTCAAAAAAGTGTGAAAACGTCCGTTATCGTATGAATGGGTCCCTTGACGGGCTGAAGTAAAATATTTACGGATGAAAAGTGGCGCGAAAACGCTATGACCAATCAGAGCACCGTCGGACGAACGTATCAACGTATAACGGATGATTGAAAATCAAGCTTAATTCAGTTTTTGCCAGTTTTGTGAAATAATTTGCGATGTAATGATGACACTTTTCTGATGGCTGCGTTGCGTTTGGCGTTTCAGCTAAATATTGGAGGTTAAAAATGTTAAAATTGGCACCTGTTGTGTGCAAAATGACACATGTCGTGAACTAAATCCTTAGCACACAACAGTTTGCAAAACGCCAATTTCAGATCGAGTTTTCCGTGTGTCAAACTGCATTTTCTAGGGTAGTCGTAGAAAAAAGTTATTTTTTGCACAATATTAACAAACCTAATGCAAAGCTTTACTATGTGTTGTGTAAAAAATAAAATTTAATAGTAAAATTTATACATACAAAAAATATAAGTCAAAGATATAAACATCGTTTACTATAATAAAACAAGACCAATGTAATAAGCCCAGTGTAAAATCCAATGATGGATAAAATAAACGACTTAATTATATTTTATGGCCACATACAAAAAGAATTGTCTAATTAAAACACAGATAATAAAAATTATACTTTGAAAATAGTTTTGATAATTATTTGATAATATGATTGGCGTTATGACAACGACAATATTTTTTGAGAATTTGACAATAGTATGACAATGGCCGTTGGAAACTATGGAAACTACAAAAAAAATGTTGATTTAACGCCATCTGCCAATAACTAGTAGCAACTTTCTAACCTAAAAATTAATTGCACTGCCACCTAGCGACAGGGTCTCGATATTTTACTTGAAATTTCCGTGGAAACGGTGGAACCGCTTTTGCTATTTTACTTTCCCGCCCCTGGGTACTATAACGCAGTAATGTAGACAGCATAAAAATTACATTCGAAACCATAGGTTGACAACCAAAGGTATGTTAAAATTTTACTGGTTTAGCATTGTCACCTTTGTTCACTTTTAATTTAAATATAGATGCAGTTTCTCATATCCTATTACTTAAAATCGGCTTGTCCAAAATTGTCCAAATTTGGCATGTGTATTAAGCATACGCAGATCTTTAAAAATCCTTTATTATGAACAGGGGAGCCAATATTTGGACAGCTTAAAATTTGCATGGGATTTCCTATATTCCCATGATAATTTATAAATTTCTAAAAATATTCTCTATTGTCAAAAATAGAGTGCTAGGGAAACGTTAAACATTTTTATATCCAAATGTTGATATCTCGGTTTTGGATGAACTGATTTTAATCAACTAGATCTCGAAAAATTATTTTTTTTGCTGTTGTGACTACTACATAAATTTACTTCTATTGAAGAATTATAGTAGTTATGGTAATGTTTTTATTGCAAGTAATCACAGTAATCGTTTATAATGTGTAAGAAAATACAGGATGTTGTTTAGTTACGACATTACGCCAGCTGGCTGAATTAACATACTTTTGCCTAATTCTGATTATCTAGAACGCAAAGACAATTGGTATTTAGGGAAATTAACACGCTTATTTAATTAAGGAGAACGATTGGCAACCTGCATTTGAAGGTGACATATTTATTATATTGGAACATTACGACACTGATCCAGTTGGAGATAAATATTATTCATTTTGTAAACAGCAATCTATTGTAAAATCTGAAACGCATTAAATTATGAATGGGAATAATATTTAATGAATATTAAAAATTAACTTGATAATTCTATTTGATAATGTAGAAAATACGGAACCTATTTAATACTGAACATATGATATATCGACGGCGTCACGACAAAAGGGCGTAAGCGCCAAATAAACGAAAATGAGATTATGGTTCCAAAATGTAAAACTAATAAATGCGCACCTATCTATGAAACGGCTTAACCAGCAAAACTTCTTAACGTGAGAAAAAAGACAGTTTTAGTTTCTATCCGCCAATACACCTTCAAACCAGACTCGACGCGAAAATCAGTAACCGCCATTCACAGATGTTGGAAGGTCGCTTACGCCTGGGATGAAAAAATACCATTTTCCATTCAAAGGTACGTAGAAAAACTTATTAATAAGATAGGTCTTATTCATATTTGGTAGCCTAGATTGTTTTTTTGTGCTTCAATCAAATTCAAATAGTAAATACCGACATTTATTTGTTATTGTCGGTTACGCCTTTTCGTGTTAATTTATTTGGTTTGCGTAAGCGCCATCCGCCTATGTGATCGTAATGGCATATTTTTTTGCTTTTAACAAAACTACCGTTCAGCAGATTTCAAAAAATTGTCAAATATCTAAATTGTATACAATATTAATTTTCAAAAAAACCTTTGCTACAAGTCAAAGGACTTTTTCTTGATTGTAATAATTGTGTGAAATTTGATTTTTTGATGTCGCTTAAGCCTTTTTATATTTTTTCTCCACAGTGTGATAATGACTTCCCGCGGGAAGAAAATCAGAGATTTGGCATTAAAATGTGGAAATCTAGAGGTTGAGGTTGAGAGCAATATCATAGATAATGATCTTCTGGCAGAAGCATTGCAGCGTGATGCGCTGTTGGAGTCAGAATTATTCATGTTAGAAGCACCACCTTTAGCCACCAACGAGGAATACGGATCAAGTTTACGCGTGTTTTGCTAAGAATATTAGTTAAATTTAATTTTCCAGTTATTATTTCAAGCCTAATCAGTTTGAAAATATTGAAAGTATCAGTTTGAGTATTTTGTACTGTGTTTTCTTAAAAAATTTTAAAAATCCAAGCGACATTTTTAATTTTATTTGTAAAACTCAAAAGGCGTAAGTGCACCTAAACGACAGAAAATGACTAGAATAATAAGACACAAAAGTCTTAAACGCCTTTCAAAAAGACGTAAACGCCAATCGAATCTAGAAAGAAAGGCGTAAGCGCCAAATATTAAAATAACTAATTAACAGTTTAATATTTTATAAGCAAAAAATTCTTGAAAAATGTGCCATATAATCTATAATACTGTAGCAAAAAATAATTCACAAAAAATAAAAAATATAGATTTTAGACGTTTTTTTCGTCTCCTGAAAAAAGTGACGAATGGCGCTTACGCCGTTTTGTCGTGACGCCGTCGATATCTTAAATTATATGCAATGTGCTTTCAAGTGAATTTACTTCAAAAGATGGTTCTTTAGAGCATTTCACTGGGTTCCGTTGAATACTGAACCCAGAGCTATTTTAGAAAGAAACAAATGTAATATTTACAAATTAAAGTTTTTGAATATTTTTCTATACCCCCACTTTATAGATTATTTAGCTCTAATATTTAAAATAATTATTAATTCATTTTGTTATATTAACTTATTTAATAAAAACACAAGTAGCTCGAACTAAATCAAGTAGGCAACTAGGATATTATAGTGTAAGACTTAAAAATAATATTATTTCGTATTAATGTTAACACATTTTACAAACAGTTAAATACACATTTTTTGTTCTAAACTAGGTTTAAAATTACCTCTGTATCTGTGAGGTTGTTTGTTATTATTGAGTCTCCTTCTAGCTCTAGCCGATAGAGACTCAAATAGGTCGGTGTCGTCATCACCACGTTTGTCTACTTCCATTGTTTCCGTTTTGTACCTCATTTCATGGCCTACGTTTTTACCATTCGCTAGGTAGTCCACGTCTTCTTGTTCTCTAGTTTTTAGGTATCTAAAAGATGAGAAATGTCATATTAGTGGCTGGTAATTAAATTAATATTAAAATAGATTATTTGGACAAAAATATTTGAAAAGTTAAGTAATCTATTAAGGTATTCTTGCTGAGCAAAATCCTATGTACGTAGGTTGCCTTTTAAGTTTCTACAATCGCTTGTTTCTTCGGTTATACTGGACACGTCCAACCATTCCATTAGAGGGTTGAAGAATTGTTAATGCCGAATGGTATACAACAATTTGATTGCCAACGGTCTTCGATGAGATAAGGAAAAAGAATAAAAAACGTCGCATCATTCTTCAGCACAATGCACAAGCACAATCCTCCCATAAAGCATGTCAAACAACTGAATATTTGAGGGAGAAAATCATCGAATTAAGGTCTCATTGCCCGTATTCACCCGATTTATCGCCTAATGACTTTTTCTTGTTTGCAACTGTCAAACAAAAGATGCGCGGACAGCGATTTTTATCACCTCAAGAAGCTGTTGAAGACTTTCAAAACCATGTTTCTATGATATAAGCTTCAGAGTGGAAAAGATATTTCCAGAATTGGTTTGGGCAAAAGTTATAGACCTTAAGGGAGAATATTTCGAAAATACAATAAAACACTTTGTTTTGAACTTATTCGTTTCTGTTTCATTTACCGCAACCTACGTAGTTAAAAATGCAAAAAGAACAGATGTTGCTATTACAGCAACAAATAATAAATACAGCGAAAATGTAAAATTGCGTTTAGTAGTTTCCTAAATTAGCTGATAATTGCTGCATCCTTAAAGGCCAAAGTTAAGTAAGTTACATACTTAAAGAACATTTGAAATATTTCTATACATCTAATAGACCCTTCGTTTTCTTAAATCCTTAGAACCACGGATCATTCATACATATGCTGTATTATTATTTTAAATGATAATGTACCTTTGTGAGCTTTCTTTGTGGAAATCGCTCTCTGGAGCATCCAGTGGCAGTTCATCATCATCTACTTCTTCGTGTTCAGTGGTACGTTGGGTTTCTGTAACTATTTTACCGTCAGGCAGTACGGAACTCAGTTCACGCGTGTCTTCGGTATCGGTAACTTTTTTACTTTTACTCGTATCTCTAATAACTCTAGGTCCTAAAAAGTATGCAATACTTAGTATTATATAAATTACCATCAAATTTCTCTTCATTTAAGGCTCATAATATATAAATTATTACCTGTAGATACTACAGCTCTGCCAGCTTCCGATGATCTTAAAACAGATCTTAAGTCATTTTTACCGGTACGAACAGCTGCTAGGAACTCCTGAAATTAAAGACAGTAATAATTATATTAATTTTTTTCCTATAACAAAGTAATAAATAAATCCTTCTTGCGAATTGATCAAAATACTTAAAATTAAAAAAAATATATCAGTAACTTTTACTATTTTAATGTGCAAAATAATAACTTTATGGCGCATTCTCACGACTCGTGTACTTGACAAACATTTGTAATTGGTATACAGGGTATACATGGTGCGTCGGGCATCAATACAAAATTTCTAAGTTATTTATTATAGGAGCTACGCCGCATTCTCGTCAGACCCTGTAAAAATACTTGTCAAGTAGACGAGTCGTGAGAATGCGCTTTTAGACATATTAAGGCGCATTCTCAAGACTCATGTAGAATATAGAATGAGTAAGAGGGGGGTTAATCAATGCGACGTTAAAGATCTATTGTGCCCCCCTTCCCTGAGTCATCACACAGTCTATAAGCCATCATACCCTTGTTGTAGAAGGCACAGGGTATTTCCCATCCTCCTCTGACAACAATTATTCCTCCGAGGGTACACACCCTTTCACGGTAGGAGTTTGGCCCTCCGTGCCGCCCTACACAGTCGAGGAGCTTGCCTCCGGCTGAGGAACCCGTGAGGTGGAGGCTGGAGGATCTGTCTCCATTTTCTCCACCTCTTTAATTTGGTTTCTCCTTAGACCTGATACCGGTGTTGTCCCGTATCTATAATAGAGGATAATATGTCCCTCTGTCTCTATTGCCTCCTTGGATTTGAGGTCAATTCCTATTGTGAGGACTTGACCATGACCCTCCTAACTTGAGTTGATGACTCGCCAACTCGATGTCCTTACATTGAAGTTCTGACCCTGGATAAGGCTCAGCAGGTAGGTGGTGTCTTTCCCCTTGCCCCTCGGTAGAAAGACCGTGATGGCTGCCCCTTTAGGGATGTTTCTCCCTTCACTGCAACCAGTTCCCACCCCTGCCAATTTTTAAGCTTAGGTTGTAAACTCGTGTACTTGGCAAGTATTTTTTTTTTGTTTATCCAACTGGCGGGAGTGGAGCGCAGCTCCTATAATAAGTAATTTAGAAATTCTGTATAGATGCCCGACTCACCGTGTATACCCTGTATACCAATTACAAATGTTTGTCAAGTACACGAGTCGTGAGAATGCGCCTTTATAGTTGCAATATTTGCATCAAAAACAAAATTTATTATTTTTTGTTACTATTATTGTAGGTTATACAGGGTGTCCCAGAAATGAGTCCAGATATTTTAAGGGGTGGTAGATCTGGTCAAAAGAAACATATTTATTCTTTACCATTTTTAAAATAAATTGAAAATAACCGAGTTATTTAACTTTGAAGGTTTAAAAAAAAGTTGCGACATTTTGAGAGCCGCCAGAGGAAATCGGCAATCTCCCGGTTCTCGGCTTGTTCGCCACCCGCTGTATCGCCACATCGCCACCGCCACGCCACCCGCCACATCGACTACAAAGACTTAAAAACTACTTGCAAAATTCCACACCACCCAAGAGGTTCTGCAGAGGTGCGTTACTTTTTTTAAGTGGGTGAGAGAAGCTTATTGTAATTAATTGTTAAGATTTATTTTTTCAGTTTACTCAGCTGTAAAAAGTATTTAAAACATTGTGCGTTTCTCTAGAATTAGTAGAGCAATCTAATATGAATAAAATTAATTTTCGTATTTTTTTCTGTAGCAACTTAAAATAATTGTGAATTTATAGATAAATATGCAGGATATGGGTATGGTAGGAGGTGGCAACGTTGCATTCTCTCTGACGTCTCTCTATGCCCGGTAAACGAATTTCCCGGGGAGTGAACAGTGGCACTCAAAAGTTTTTCAACATTTTCCGGAAAATGTCAAGAAAAATATAAAATTTTCAACATTTTTTTTTCGCAAAAAAAAACCTCATAGGCGTGGTTCTGGGGTTGAACTATACTACCAGTTAAAATATCTGCACTCATTTCTGGGACACCCTGTATATACAGGGTGGTCCGAACTGTATTCCGGAAACTTCGGCAGCATATTCTACAGATAAAAATAAGTAAAAAAGTTCGTATAAATGTATGTCCTAAAATACTTAGTTTGGGAGATACAGGGTGAAGAAGTTTCATTTTTATTTCGATTTTTTCCAAATAATTTAATTTCATTAAAGTAACGTCAATATTTGGATGAAAATTGGTGTCTGGGGTTTTTTTTGACATGAGAAATCTGATTTTGATGTCAATATGACTCCTACTAGTAGAGGGCGCCACCTACATATTTTTAACTGGTTTGAAGAGTAATAACTTTTCGTCCGTACCTGTATAAAACTACTGAGTAAAAAAATATACATTAATGACGTTTTTTACGTGAAAAAGGTCTCTTGTTAAAAACTGCTACGAGTAATGGTTTTCGAGATATTTGGAATCGAAATTATCAATAACTGTCATCATTGGCATAAATTACATTACATGTTGACTAAATAGTTCTTAGACTGAAATCATAAATTTGAAATGTTTTTGTGCCGAAAGTGCAACAGAAACTGTTTTATCATCATTTTTTGCAGAAAAATTTATGATTAATTTAAAAAATTAAAAATTTCCAAGATTTATTATTTCAGTGTCATTAATGACATGTATTGTCTATTTCCATTCTAAATATCTTAAGAACGGTTATTATTTACGTAAAAAGTCACAGAGATGTATATTTTTTCGCTCGGTAGTTTTATACAGGTACGGACAAAAAGTTATTACGCTTCAAAACGCCTTCTACTAGTAGGAATCATATTGACATCAAAACCAAGTTTCTCATGTCAAAAAACTCCCAGACACCAATTTTCATCCAAATAATGACGTTACTGCAGAAATTATTTGGAAAAATCGAAATAAGAATGAAACTTCTACACCCAGTATCTCCGAAACTAAGCATTTTAGGACATACATTTATACAAACTTTTTAATTATTTTTATCTGCAGAACATGCTGCCGAAGTTTCCGGAATAGAGTTCGGATCACTCTGTATATTATTAGATTAGATTTCAGAAAGTGGCAAATATTAACAATTTCTCTGTATTTGTTTATCAGTTTTGTCGTCAATTTTTAGTAAGTGTCCTACTATGAACTATGCTAGTGCATTTTTGCACCATTCTAGAGATTTGTTGACTACTCAAGTTTTTGTGCCATATTGCTATATTGGATAAATTTAATTATTAGCCAATTATGGCCAAATTTTTGATATATTTAACGTCCATGGTTAAGCATCAACTGCATTTTTTTTACCTTTGAGTTTTGTAATAATCTGGCCAAAAATACAAATTCATTACTTTTCAGAATTAAATGTAGTATCAAACATTTTTGAGAGCATCCTTGAAGCATTTAGCATTATACAGGATGAGTCTTAAATAAGTGCAAATATTTCAGGAATAGTATATATATTTCGACCCCAGAAACACGTCTATGAGTTTTTTTTTCGCGAAAAATATTTGAAAATTTTGAAAAAAAATTGGATTTTTTTAAATTTCTAATTAAAAACCTAATATCTTCATAATATGGCAACATACGTAATATATTAAACTTACAAGAAAAAAAAACAGAAAAGATCCAGTGGTTCTCAAAATTTAAGCGAAAAATATTTTTTTTTATTTTCAAATTATATATCTCGGTTATTTTTGACTTATTACTTAAACAGTAAAGAGAAAATATGTTTCTTTTATCTACCAGCACTTAAAATATTTACACTTATTATAAGACTCACCCTGTATTTATAACTATTAAAGGTTTGTTGCTTAGAAAAAAAAAACTTTTGATATCTAATTTAGAATTTAAAAGCAGCATGAAATCAACCATTCCTTCAATAAAATTTTGTATAAAAATACAATTATTATTACTTTTTCTTATGCATAATAAGGGATTTATTGAAATAATAATCCACACCTAAATTATCTAGTTTTTTAATTATAAATACACGTCTATAAGGCGTAAAAGAATAAATTATAATAATGTTATTACTAATATTTTTTAACTTCGAGTCGTGGCGTATGCTAAATCAGAATCTCGGTTAGTAGGCATACAACTTTTCCATTAGGAATTCCATTACCGAAACCAACCCAAACTTATAGATAGCGAAATTGCCGACAGACAATATATAGTATCAAATTCTCTATCTGCACAGTCATTTAAAGTCCTAGAAAGTTTGAAAAACACATGACGAAAGTTATATTTAATATTTATTATTAAATGTAATAAACGAAATTGGTTGTCATAACATAAAAATGATCATTAAATTATCTTAGATGATTGAGCACCGATGTGAGAAGGTGATATAAAATTCATAGACAAGAATAAGTAGAAAGGAAAGTTGAGCAAAAAAATAAATTACCTATTTATTTCAAATACTAAGATAATATAAATTTGTGGCATATTATAAAGATGGACTTTCCTCATTAAAATTTCAGTAAAAAATGAGAAAAAGAAAGCTCTATTCTACAGCCAGTTTTGCACATAAATTCCATATCTATATTTTTATTTCTCTAGTATTTATTTACCAGCCCAGCTACCATTCCATTATTTGTTAATGTTTAATCCATTGAACATTAATTAATATTATTATATAATATAATTTTATATTGTGTTCGTAAACAAATTTGCTTAACCAACAATGCTTGCCAATAAACAATGCTTTACGTTTCAGGGGTAACAACAAAAAGAATAAAGAAAAACGATTTAAAATGTCGAAATGTACATAATACGGGAACACTATCTTATACTATTTTTTTAGTACAGACACGTTTTTTTAAAAACTTTTTACCAATTTTTACACTTTTTTATGTAATATACAAAATACCAAGCAAGCCAAAGCAAGAGTAATGATATACAAAATAACCCCAGAGTTTGCAACTGGCAAAGGAGAACAACAGGGGACGCGATATCCCTAAAGCTGTTTACAGCAACACTAGAAGAAATCTTTCGTTAAGTAGACTGGAAGACAAAGGATTAAAAGTAGATGGAGAATATCTCAACCATCTAAGATT